AAGAAAAATTAAAAAAACTTATAGGTAAAGATATCAACAATGAACCATGCCCTCCAGCTGTTGTCGAAATGATTGATCAGGATACGATTTGTATCAATGGTGAAACTTTACGAAAACCTTTTGTCGAAAAACCAATCAGTGGTGAAGATCATAACATTCATATATATTATTCATCTGAAACGGGAGGTGGAGGTCGCCATTTATTTCGTAAGGTTGCCAACAAATCAAGCGAATTTGATCCAGGCCTGTCAATGCCACGAACTGAAGGTTCATATATATATGAGCAATTCATGGACGTTGATAATGCGGAGGATGTGAAAATTTATACCATTGGGACTACTTATGCTCATGCAGAGACGCGTAAGTCACCGGTTGTAGATGGACTTGTAAAAAGGAATAATGATGGTAAAGAAGTCCGCTATGTTACAAATCTTACACCAAAAGAAAGGAGGATTGCGAGTGATATTTGCTCGGCTTTTGGACAAACAGTTTGTGGATTTGATTTACTTCGAGTTCATGGACAATCATATGTCATCGATGTTAATGGTTGGTCATTTGTAAAGGGTAATGATGACTATTATAGCAATTGTGCGCGTATTTTGAGAGCAATTTTTTTGAACGCTATTCGAAAGCGCAAGGTTAGCATTGATTCCATACCAAATGAGCTCAGATTTGAGAATTCGTGGCGGCTTAAATCATTTATATCAGTTTTTCGCCATGCTGATCGTACTCCAAAGCAAAAGATGAAATTCTCTTTTCGCAGTCAGCCATTTATAAAATTATTAGGTGAATCTACCGAAGAAGTAATCTTGCGTAAATCACATGAATTAAAACAAGTTACCGAATCCACAATTGAAGCTATCCAATTGCAAAGTGAAGATATTAATAAATTAGAACAGCTCAAATTAATTTTAAAAATGAAGAGTGATTTGCCTGGAACAAAAGTTCAAATTAAGCCATCTTACAGTAAAGAGGATGGATCCTTTGTCAAACTTCAACTCATCGTCAAGTGGGGTGGTGAGGTTAGTGGATAATAACAATTAGTACAAGAGAATTTTTCGAATCCTAATCATTGTTTTACTTTTAAGTTCACGCATTCGGCTCGTTATCAATCACGAGACCTTGGGGAAAATTTACGAAAAGATCTTTTAATTATGAACAGGAGTGTATTTGATGATGTCAAAATGTATACCAGTTCGGAAAGGCGGGTCAGTGCTACTGGTATGTCGAAATTGATTAAAATTCATCTACTCTTTCTCTCAAAATTATTGTTATATTGGTCAACATTTCATAGTAATGCAAGATAGTAATAATATGGATATCGTTGGTTAAGATGAGAATTTGGGGAAAAATTTTAAAAGCTTACAATATTCTGTTAGAAAGGTTTTAATTCTTTTCCTTTCTTTTTATCTGATAAAAATTTATTAGAAGTAATCTAATGAATCTTTATCAGGTATAAAAATTTATGCTCGATAATAGGTTAAAAAAAACAAGAATCCAGCAAATCTTTTTTTTTGGTAAAATGAAACCCTTTACATGTATTTGTATATAATAATAATATATATATATTAATTATATTTTGTAAATAATGTGTATACAATCTTTTATTGTATATCATTTTTTTGGTTTTTTAAATTTAAGTAATTCTAAAAAAAAAAAAAAAAAAAAAAAAAAAAAAAAAAAACTTTATAAAAGTTATTGAAAAAAAAAAATTTTGATTAAGAAAATTTCAACGAAATTTTTTATTAAAAAAAAAGCAATTATTTACCTGAAGAAATTTCCGTTAAAATCGAAGATTAAAAAAATTTTTTCTTCCCTAATTTATTTTTGTAGCTGACATATTCGCTAGAACATTTTTAGACATCAGCGATATTCCAGAAGAGATTATTGAAACTCGCAAAGAAATGTTGGATGATAGTAATGCAGCGAAAGAACAAATGGATGAAGTGAAGAGACAATTGTGTAATCTCTTAAAGCCCGGCCAATCTGCAAAAAACGATGCAGTGTGGCCCAATGATGTCCCAGAACCTAGCATAGTAGTTCAAGAAGTGATAGACCTGATGAAGGAACAACGACATATTATGAGGGAGAATTTCATCACAATGGAAGTTGAAACGATACAATCTCGATGGTGTTGTTCAGAAAATCCAACATTATTTAGAGAAAGATGGGAAAAGTTATTTAATGATTTTTGTGATGTAGAACGACAACAATTCGATCCTAGCAAAATATCAGAATTATATGATAGCATCAAATATGATGCTTTGCATAATCGACAATTCTTGGAAACTATCTTTTCGGATAAAGGTACTTCTAAGGTTAAAGAATTATATCAAAGAGCAAAAATATTGTTTGATTTTGTAGCACCACAAGAGTATGGTATAGAGAATAAGGATAAACTACATATTGGACTTTTGACTTCTAGTTCCTTGTTACAAGATATTATTAAAAATTTGGAGGTAAGAATGAATCTCGTTAATAATTAAATTTTTAATCATTAAACGCAAATTAATAAAAATTTCATAAAGGAATCCAAGTCAAATCCAACTCCATGTACCAGATTATATTTTACTAAGGGTAAATAACAGATATAAGTGAATTCTTCGATATTTGTGAATGGAAATTAACGATTTTTTTTTCCAGAATCTCATGTACATACGCTATTAAATGTTGTATTCTTATCTGGTCTGCCTACAAGGATTTCCAAGAATGATTTGGCAGAACTTGATTGTAAATATCACAAGTCAAGAACATCATATGTTTTTATATTTTATCTTAAGATTAACATTATTTTTCATAAATTAAAATATTAAGATCTCACTCAAATAACGTTTGAACTTTATGAACGTCATCGCGGTTTATCAGGTGATAAGGAATATTCCTTACGTGTGGCATTCAGTCCTGGCGCGCATGATCCAAATATTTTGGATTTACGATTAGATGCGCGTCATTGTTTAAATGTAGCTCCAAGAAAGTGAGTTCTTCCCATTGAGTCGAGCACTATTTATTTGAAATCAGATAATGAAAACAAATTCTTTAAAAAATTTCAGGAATCTTACGGACCATTTGCCTCTCGACCAAGCGCTTTTATATTATAAGAATAAAGTGTATAATCCCGAATCAGCAAAAGTAGAGGAAAATGGTCCAACTAATAATGATATACCAAATTCTCACTCACCTATGTTTGATGTATTTCAGTTAAGTAAATCGTTTTGAGACATTAACATATAGACTATACCTAATTTATTTAAGACTATACATTAGAAATATTTTTTTCTCTTTTTTTGATATTGTATAAATTATTTGATTCTTATAATAAAATATTTATTTGGAATAATAAAATTTGGTGATCAGCTGATCAATTTTCGGGAGATCAAAAACCGAATTGGATAGTAAAAAAATTATAATTTCAACATGTCCTCTTTTAGAGAAGAAGAGCTTAAAAAGAGAAAAACATATCTTCAAATAGCTGGCACTGCCTGTTCTAATTGTCGTAAAACTTGCAGGGAAGCAAATGTAAAAACTCTTTTACGCTGTGCACGTTGTCGAGTGTCACATTATTGTTCTAAAGAATGTCAAAAGGCCGATTTCCAATTTCACAAGGTTTTCTGTCTTGCTATCGAAGAATTGAGCAACAATGAACAAGCTTGGTATTCATGTAATGGTTTAGAATCCGAATGGAACAAACGCAAGATTTATCAAATGCAACTACTAGGCTTTATACTCGATAGGGAGTTAAATAACTATGAAAGACTTGCATGGTTGAATCAACCAAAATGTCAATTATGTTTCAAATGTCCAAAAGATTTGAAAACACCACAAGCATTAATCCCGTGTCCAAATTGTCAAGTTGTCTTTTGTTGTTCTCCTGAGCATTGGAAAAAACATCGGTCAAAACATGACGACATGTGTGAGACATATCAAATCATGCTCGATTGTGAGAGAATCCGATATCTACCCGATCAATCATTATGGGCTCCAGAAGAATATGATGAAAATAAATTATATCCACCGTTACCAAAAGATTGGACTGGATATTTCAAGTGGAGAAAAGCTTCAATTATACCTCAACGTAATGATTCTTTCTGTCGAGTTATCACAAATACTCTTTCATTACCTCTCACAATCCTTTCAGCTCTCTCAAGATTTTACACGCGTGATCAATTACATTCTATCAATGATATGGTAATTCATATTATTGGTGCAAATCAATATGAACTTTCGGCACTTATGACATTTGAAGAAATAATGCACGTGTTACCCGATATAAAAGTTCTTCACCTCGTAATGGTTGGATTAGAAATGACTCCAAAACATCATGGATTTCCTTTACGATGTTGCCCTCGATGTACTAATGAAAATAGGATGCGCGTTATTTCAATGTATCCAATGATTTATCATGAGTTCGCTAAGTCTTCTGATTATAGTCAACCTCACTTGGCTATTGGATTTAACAAAGATCTAGGTGAAGATGATTTTGAGCTTTGGAAACCAACAATCGAATTTTTATTGGATAAAAATTTGCCAAGCGCTTTCACTTCTTATTCCAAAAAGGAAGCTATTGAGGACGTTAGAATTATTAAAGAATTGGGTGCTTTGATCCTTACGGGAGCCAAAGAAAATAAATGGAGCAGCACCATGCCTCTTGTTGAGCCTCAAGAAGTTGATAAGTTTTATTATAATAATTTTTATAGAACAGTATTTCAAGGAAGAGTCAATAAAGAAAAAAAGGAGGAATAATAATGTCAATGCTTTGCATTAAACGCTTTTTATTGTTATCCTAACCCTACATTAATTGTACGTACGTGTATTTCATTGTAATTACTGAATGTATTAATATTAATATTATTATTATTTTCAATATAAATTATTTTCACATGCTTGGAATTTTTTTTTAAAAAATTTGTTCGTTGTAATTAATACATTAATTAATAATTCTAATGCAATTATATATAATAAAATAATTCTAGTTGAAGTAAACTCTAGTTATATTACCATTTTTATCGAAGGAAAATATAATATAAAAATATAAATGTTATCACGATAAGAAAAATTAACCACCACGTGAAATGGCTATTTTGAGTAACTGCCAATCGCTTTAACTTATTCATAGTACCACCAAGGGATGAACTTGTACGTGAATATTCGTCCGACTTAATAAAAAAAAAATAATGAATTGAAGTGAAAAACCATGAAAGTATTTTTTAAATTGATAAAAATTTACCATAGCTCCAACAAGAATATTTGATTCTTTTACACTTTCACCAATGCTCAATGTAATCTAAAATCATTAAATTTATTTTAGTATAAATCATAAAATGAAATTCAAAGAAATTAAATATTGCATTGACCTCTTTCAATAATTTTACTTTCCCCGTTAATCCTTCGAGTTTATCATCATTTTGACTTTCTAAATCCAAATGTGCATTTGGAGTATAATTTGAAGAAGGTGCGGAGGACCTTAAAGCTGGGTTAGTTTCCGTGGAAGATGCACCAGTAAATAATGCCGCTCTTTCACGATGGTTAAGATTTTGATTATTGTAAGTTCTATTGTTTTTTGTTTAAAAGAAAAATTAAAAAGTTTAGACAGGTGAAATTAGTAAATATGACTACAACATGGTTAAAAATTACCGGACTGGTCGTCTTCCTTGGTTCATTATGAAATTGGTTGATAGGGTATCTTTACCATGCTATGAATAGAATTTTTTATAAAATATATCTATTCTTGTTACACGGATGATGATGTTCATCCTAACTAAATTTGTTCTGCGGATTGTAAATCACGTAAGTTAACGATTTAAAATGATGACGTACGAAGAAATTAAAACCGAATTAAACGATGCAAAAACGGGATTAGAGAAGGTGGAAGAAGAGTTGAAGAAGTTCGCTGAAGGGTGGGAGGGGCAGAGGTTGAAGGTGTTGTTTGGAGGAGGGAAGGAAAATAGTGAAGGGGAGTTTGATTACTTGAAGGAAGAACAAAAGAGGTTGGAGGAGTCGAAGAAAAGGGCAGAAGATAGGATAGATAATTGGGGCGAATTATATCGAAAAGAACTCAGTAAACGAGGTGATGTAAAATTGCGTAAAAAAATTATTTTTCATTCATTCAATTTCATATATTGTTTATGAGCTTTAATAACGTGACTTTCTTTGGCTATTTATATTACATCTTCTATTATCTATTGATTGTTTATTTCTAGTTGATAAAGGTAGGTGTATGTGATGTCAATTTGCTTGTTTTTATACAATTTTTTTTTTTTTGCTGAATTATTCAACTTAATAACCTTTTTCTTGCAGATGTTTCTCAAAAATATATTGTTACTCCTGAATATATTTTGTCCTGGGTTCAAAAATATAGAAGATCAACCTATGAATCTCCTCCGAAGGTAAATAATGCATGTTGCTCATTTATATATTAATTTATTTACCATATTTTTATACTTATATTATTCCAGCATATATCCACATATGGAAAAGATTTCAAGTTTCTTGGCCGTGAAGAAACAAAGGAACGACTTTGGAATGGAACTTTGAATAAAAATGGTGTTAAAAAACGTTACTATGCATTTCTGAACAAAATTATAGATCGTAATTCCCACCCAATTCCATTTATTGCAGCAGGACCCGGTACTGGGAAAACTCGAGTATTGGAAGAAAGTTTGAATATGATGCAACAATGCGCAGAAAATGACAGTGATTCTGA